GGAGTCTTCAGTCGTCTGGGGAGGTTTTATTTATGATGGAGCTGTCAAAAGGTGAAAGTTTGTGAGCCACAGAAGTTTTTCGTGTCGATCTTATGATTTGTGGGTGCATAAAGCAGATATTATATAATATATATTTTAGTACTTTGCACAAGATCTAAACAGGTTTTGAACAGTTTAACTATTTTTTTGTGGTTGAGGTCCCCTGCAAGTCAGACCCTCCAGGTCAGATTGTTCAGCAGGTTAGCTACTATAGCACAGGTTAGAGCTTTACAGTAGGCCTAAATATGGGCTAACATCCCAGCTCAGAGTTTGAAATAGTTGAATAGATAAATTATGGAGCGAAAAGTGAACAAGATTCATATTTCATTCATTTAGGATGTTTTCTTTTTCTTTGCAGTCTTAAAACACAGAAGAAATACGGTCAATGTGATCGTCGGCGTTATCAAGACCATGACAGAACTCATCAGATATTGTTAAGAAGTTCAAATCTTACATTTTCCATGGCCAAAGTTTATGGAGGATCTTTCTGAAGATTTTGGGAGTCTTTATTTCAAATCAGTGAGGATCAGATCCGCAGTTGAAGTGATAATTTGCTCGGCGTAAAGATTTATTGAAAATTGGTCTTGCTCGTTCTGGGTTTTGTTTGAGCACGTGTTTTGTGTAGTGTACCGACTCTGATAAATAAACATGATCAAGACTTCAAATCAGAGTTTGTTCTGACTAAAAACTGCTATTTAAGTATGAAACACATAAAGTGTTTGGTCCAATTAGATTCAACGACAAAAAAAAAACCAAGAAAACTGAGGCTGCTGTTAGTTAATATGGCAGGCGTGGTCAGTTAGCAATTCAGCGAAAAAGTACATCTTGGGGTCCCCCCCAAATCTGCTTAAATTGATGTCAAATTATGTATATAAAATATGAACATTTCAAACAGCAGCCTACTGTTGCTTCTGTCTCCTTTATATCAATCAAAGCTCAGTTAACGATAGCCCTAACACTTGTGCTCTTAGAGTCCAAATTTCTTTGGATTCACTGGATATTTAATAAATATATATTCATTGGATATGAAAAAGGATAACTCTTACATTTTCTCTTACAAACTTAAAGCAGGGCCAAGGTGGGATCTGCAGTGAGTGGGAATAAAAGGCTTTGTCTCTTTAATTTTGCCAATGCTGTACTCTGGGGGTATAATTGGCCGTTTTTGACTACTTTTGATGTTGCCTTTATATTTCCTCTTAAAAACTGTTTACCTTGCCTTGCTTGGTATCATTTTTTTCTGCACAACCTCACCTGTGTGAATTTACAGTTATTTTATGATTTTGACATACTGTATTAACACAATGGACCTAAATTCACACACAAAACATAAATCCGAGTGGAAAAAAGTAACATTTTATACTGTGAAAACCACAAATATGTGTGACGAACCGTTTTCAAAACTTAAACTGCAAATAAAAATTGTAAACTTCAAAACATATGCCAAATTTTAACAAATAACACTGTAATTTACCACTATTTACATCAAAATGCAGGCAATGCCTCAGGCGTTTTTTGTGATATTTTCTGCCTTTGTTTGATTTGCCTGCATCTGTGGCTATGATGATGGGCACAGGATGTAATCTGTGCAGCAACACAGTCCAAACAATTTTCATCACTTAGAATGCAAATTTAAATAGAAAACTAAAGTGCAGCAACAAAGTCCAAACTATTTACATAACTTTGAATGCAAATTTACAGTGTCATAAATGGCACATTTCGGTTTCTGTCCAGCAAGACACAGAGGGCCACACCACAGGCCTGACACATCCATGGTGTGTCATTCCTCTGTTTGTCCACTTGGAGGCAGCGCTGGCAACTTTTCTGCCCTTGTTCGGTTGGCCTGCAGGAACGTGATCTGCCCTCCTGCTCTGGGGAACACCTGTTTTGTCCACGCCACAAAGCTGACACCCCAGCTCCACCATGAAGTCTTTGTGAGTCATGGGCTGTACCTGCTTCGTTTTGCACATCTGACGGTGCAGGATGTATGCATTTGTCGTAGCAATGTCCAGGAAGTGCAGCAACACAGTCCTGTACCAGCGAGCAGTTTTTCTGTGGGTGGAGTAATATTGGATGAGCTGGTCAGACAGATCAACTCCACCCATGTTTTTATTGTAGGCTGTGATTGGTGTGGGAATGGGGATGTCTCTCACAGCCCAGTGCCCATCTCCATCCTTCACTCTCCTCTGTACTGTCTCACCCGAAAATGCAGGATGGATGGTGGAGCACAGACACCTCCCGTGTGTCCATCCACTTCACAAAAACCAGGGAGCCTTCTCTAATCCATCTCACTGATCCTCTTTCACTTTTTTTTGTGAGATCATTTTCCCTCCCTCTGGGGCATCCTTTCCTGCTCTCTCTGTAGGTGCCACATGCTCCAAACTTCATCCTGGCCAGGTCCATGAAAAGTTTGGGGCTGGTGTAAAAATTGTCCATATAAATATGGTACTAGTGCTGGACGATAATTCGATAACAATATATATCGATCGATAGACGTGTGGTGCGACAGAAAAAAAACGGGTCGATAAAAAGTTCAATAGAAAAACACAGTTTCCTTTTCTTTTTCATCATAGCCTATCATGTAGCTTTTACTACAGTCATCACTTCCTCCCAACCAATCACAAACGCAGACCCAGGTACGCTACGGCACCAAGCCCAGCCCCTCTCAAACCACAACAGACAGCACGTGTATTAGAAAAAATGATACAGCAAGGAGAAGCGGAGGACATTGTCCCGAAAAAAGGTTTCAGTAGTTCACCAGCATGGCAATGTTTTGGTTTTTAGAAGTCTGACAAAAAGCAAACAGCGGTCGTTTGCAAAATTTGCAGAGAATTAGTAAAAACCAAGTCTGGTAACACAACCAACTTGTTTTACCATCTAAACCGATCGCACCCGCAGGAGTATGAGCTTTGTCGGCCGCGCCGCGGCTCCACGTCATCGTCGGAGGAATCCTCTGGAACCGCTGCCAGCACCAGCACAAAGCATGTGAAGCAGACCAAACTGGACTTCGTTTCTTGCTAAAATACGACAAAGTGTCCGAGCGGCATAAGGACATCACCCATGCAGTAACATGCTCCATAGCGAGGGACATACTGCCAATAACTACCGTTGAAAAGCCTGGCTTCGACCAGCTTCTAGCCACTCTCGACCCGCAATATGAAGTGCCCGGCCGCAAGTTTTTCTCAAACACAGCGCTTCAGGCATGAAAATGGGTCAGGGGTTGAAAAGGTGAGAAGGGTGCGGAGGAAATACGTTCCGGTGTTGGGCCGTAGAATGCACCCCTGCATCCCGTCAACTCATTAGCTTCTTAAAGTGGAAGAAAATGAGCTCATATTTTACAAAGACGCGAGTATTTGGATCATGGCTACTAGCAGGGGGTGCATTCGGCAGGGGTGCATTCTACGACACAACACCGGCGTGGATAAGTCCTGCTTCTCGTGCTTAGTTTGTGTATTAAGTCAATCACATGATAATTAAAAAAAATAAATCTCCCGACCCCGGGAGAAATATTTTAGTGTTCAGACACCAGGCTGTGGGCAGTTTCCCACACAGTTAAACCTGGTAGTATGCTATTCCCACCTAAAGCTATTCTGTTTATTTATATATTTGTTTGTTTTGTTTATTTTCATCAAAAGACTATTTAAATATTTATTTATCAGATTTTCTGGTCACTTTAGTCTTTATGTATGTCAGTATTTACTGACGTCACTCAGGCCACTTAAGTTGATTTCTTTTTTTTTTTAGTTCTTTTTTAAAAAACTTTCAGTTGTGGTAAAATAAAAAAGGTGGTTGAATAAAGGTTTGAATTTGAATTCAGTGCTTGTGTGTTCTTTATTAAAAGTAGGTCATTAAGCAATAGCATAAAACATCCAGGGCTGCAATTAAAATATATGTTAAATCATTATAATAATTATATCGATAATTATCGATATCGATCAATATGATTTATTTTTTATCAATATGCTTTTTTTCTATATCGTCCAGGCCTATATGGTACCCTGTGCCAAAATAGGCTGGTCGAATGAGGTCCATGACCACATCATAAGACAGCCCATTCTCACTAACAGTTTGAGCCTTTCCTTGATAAATACTGAAGCTACAGGTGTAGCCACTGCTTGACTCAGCCAAGACAAATAATTTTATGCCCCATTTAGTCGGCTTATCCTTCATGTACTGAGTCATGCTAGTTTTCGCCTTGGTTGCCGCCATCCTCTCATCCACAGACAGCTCCCTCCTCGGGTGGTAGTAAGCCTGGCAGGTATTGAGGATGTCATTGTAGAGAGGTCTGATTCTGAACAGTTTGTCACGGCCTGGTGTTCCCTTCTTTTTGTCATTCTTCACATCTTCTTCTGGATCACTAAGGTGGATATTCCAGAAGATTGACCTGAACCTGTCTCTGGACTAGTGCTGGACGATAATTCGATAACAATATATATCGATCGATAGACGTGTGGTGCGATAGAAAAAAAACGGGTCGATAAAAAGTTCGATAGAAAAACACAGTCTCCCTTTCTTTTTCATCATAGCCTATCATGTAGCTTTTACTACAGTCATCACTTCCTCCCAACCAATCACAAACGCAGACCCAGGTACGCTACGGCACCAAGCCCAGCCCCTATCAAACCACAACAGACAGCACGTGTATTAGAAATAATGTTACAGCAAGGAGAAGCGGAGGACATAGTCCCGAAAAAAGGTTTCAGTAGTTCACCAGCATGGCAATGTTTTGGTTTTTAGAAGTCTGACAAAAAGCAAACAGCGTTCGTTTGCAAAATTTGCAGAGAATTAGTAAAAACCAAGTCTGGTAACACAACCAGCTTGTTTCACCATCTAAACCGTTCACACCCGCAGGAGTACGAGCTGTGTCGGCCGCGCCGCGGCTCCTCGTCGTCGTCGGAGGAATCCTCTGGAACCCAGGAATCCAGCACCAGCACAAAGCAAGTGAAGCAGACCAAACTGGACTTCGTTTCTTGCCAAAAATACGACAAAGCGTCCGAGCGGCATAAGGACATCACCCATGCAGTAACATGCTCCATAGTGAGGGACATACTGCCAATAACTACCGTTGAAAAGCCTGGCTTCGACCAGCTTCTAGCCACTCTCGACCCGCGATATGAAGTGCCCGGCCGCAAGTATTTCTCAAACACAGCGCTTCAGGCATGAAAATGGGTCAGGGGTTGAAAAGGTGAGAAGGGTGCGGAGGAAATACGTTCCGGTGTTGTGCCGTAGAATGCACCCCTGCATCCCGTCCACTCATTAGCTTCTTAAAGTGGAAGAAAATGAGCTCATATTTTACAGAGACGCGACTATTTGGATCATGGCTACTAGCAGGGGGGGCATTCGGCAGGGGTGCAATCTACGACACAACACCGGCGTGGATAAGTCCTGCTTCTCGTGCTCAGTTTGCGTATTAAGTCAATCACATGATAATTAAAAAAAATAAATCTCCCGACCCCGGGAGAAATATTTCAGTGTTCAGACACCAGGCTGTGGGCAGTTTCTCACACAGTTAAAACTGGTAGTATGCTATTCCCACCTAAAGCTATTCTGTTTATTTAAATATTTGTTTGTTTTGTTTATTTTCATCAAAAGACTATTTAAATATTTATTTATCAGATTTTCTGGTCACTTTAGTCTTTATGTTTGTCAGTATTTACTGACGTCACTCAGGCCACTTAAGTTGATTTCTTTTTTTTTAAGTTCTTTTTTAAAAAACTTTCAGTTGTGGTAAAAAAATAAAAAAGGTGGTTGAATAAAGGTTTGAATTTGAATTCAGTGCTTGTGTGTTCTTTATTAAAAGTAGGTCATTAAGCAATAGCATAAAACATCCAGGGCTGCAATTAAAATATATGTTAAATAATTATAATAATTATATCGATAATTATCGATATCGATCAATATGATTCATTTTTTATCGATATGCTTTTTTTCTATATCATCCAGGCCTACTCTGGACATGATTTTGGATGGCATGGGCACAGACAAAAAGTGATTATATCTCCAGTACTCTTGGAGACTTGGTAGTGACACTAATGACATGTAAATAAGGAGACCAAAAAACTTCTGCAGATCCTCCTTGTCTATGTCAGTCCAACTGTATTTTTTCCCTAATTCTTCATTTTTTGCTGCATTCTTGTTTGTGTTGCTGCAGATAGTTCTGACTGTGTCAGTGGCAAAAAATGAAGAAAAAGGTCTTTTGGACTCTGGGGGGAATGTGGATCTAACTGGACCCCTGGTGGTCTCTGAGGCTGAAACCTGCTCACTGCTGGAGCTCTGTCGGCATCCTCCCCAGTCTTCCAGGGCTCGCCGTCCCGTCCTCCGGGTGGCTCTCCGACTACGCACACACGTCGGAGGGTCCTCTGCCCTTCTCTCCTCCCCTCTCTCCTCCTCTCTCTCCTCCTCTCCCCCCTCCTCCAATAGAAACGAGGGATCACCCGCTTCATTGTCGGAGTCCTCCTCCGGCTCATACTGTGACGCTGCTGTGTCTCCCTCAGCTTCCTCTTCCTCGAAGAAAAGCGCTAGCGCCCTCTCCATGTCCATCAAACGCCTCATTGTCACACAAAACAAAAATACAACTGCGCTACACACTAAACTACACCGTACAACACATAACTACACTAAAATATTCACTCAAAATACGCTAAATGTCACAAATCACTCGATCTCAAAACTCACTATCGTTTCCGCCGTCTCTCTCGATCACCGCCGCTACTCCCACAACTTTCTTTTCCCCTAGCAACCAAAACCCGCGCTTTGCCCTGTAATTTTTTTATTGGTTGTTGTGATAATGTTTTGACTAATAGGAGAAGTATTGTCGTGCATCTTTTTTCTTTTATTCTTTTCCGCTTTCAAGCACTTTCGGGAGCTTGTTTTCCTGTTTCTTACAGCACCCGTGTGCACCGAACGTGACGAAAACGAGCAGGAAAAAGTATGGCGTACATAATTCATCATAACTCTAGTTTTATTTGGTCTATCAACACAATTCAAAAACTGATATAAAGTTTGAGGTCCGCACTTTTGAGACAAGTTAAAACGAAGACTGCAGCTACATCTGGTTAAATATGTCACATGATATTGACGCAGGGGATCGTCAATCAACTACATGGATACTTGCATTACGCACGTGTTACACTGCAGAAAATGAAGGGCCAACTCATCTCCCGTGCAACACATTTATTTTAACAGGACTCCTGTGAATACACAATGACATACAGGTGAACAGGAGCACACGCTGCATCTTCTGTCAACTCTCATCACATACTGACCAGACTTCCTCTAGTCTATATTCCAAAAACCAAAACATGTAAACTCGTACTACAAAACACAATACTACAGTAGTACTGAAATGTTACAAGTGACATGACTGTCTCAACGTTTATGGTTTTTAATCACATACATCCTCCCTATGAACTGCCAAAATCACATAACGCATTTAACTTGATAAACAAATATCCAAATATACTCAAAATGAGGTTTAATAGTGTTTTCAACCATTGTTTTTAAACACTGTTTTTAACCTTTTATTAACTGCATGTATTACATTAAATCTCTTCTGAACAAATGTCTTTTTAAACTCTATTTATTCTCTATTTATTCTCAATGAAATAAACCTAAATTATTCTACACTTTCTGTCTACACAAACATCACATAGTGTAGCTTTAATCTAAAACACACTGTTCACAAAAATAGACTCATCACTGCCTAAGCATTGATATGAGACCACACGTTCACTCTTTAGCTTAGCCTCACGTTAAATTTAACTCTTCACCTCACTCTGTATCTCGGTTTACACAAGCATCTGCCTGGAATAACACATCTACTCTACTTGACATAAGTTTTGGCCATTAACTCATGCTTACACATGGGTTATGTGCATCTAAAGTAGAAAGTTTAACCTATCAGAGCTAATACAACCTAAAACACTTCTCTGGTTCATTACCGCGATCGCCGCGCACTACGAATCCGCCATTTAGATACACAAACGTGACCAGTCGCCTTCACGGACTCATAAACTTGTGAACTTCTTCTACAGATCGACATCCTTTACATTCTAAGGCACTTATAATCTACCACTACTGTTGTCTTATATTAATATATTGTTTACAATCCAGCTTACCTGTGAATACACAATGACCTACAGGTGAACAGGAGCACACGCTGCATCTTCTGTCAACTCTCATCACGTACTGACCAGACTTCTTCTACCGTCAGCTACTGATGCGTGAAATACAGAGCGCCCTCTGCTGGCGAAACTCATATTAAGCTGGATTTAAATCAAGCAGACATAACAGTAGTGTTCCTGTAGAAAGTTACCTTTAAGTTACCTTTAGAAATAAAAATAAAATGTGTGTGTGTGTGGGGGGGGCAACTATTTTTATTCATCCATCTATATCATAGTGCCACACACGCAATAGTCCACCAAATAGAACCATGTGATGCAGCAAAAAGAAGTCAATTCAGATCAGCAGCCTCCTTTTTTGAAGTAAAACACATGAGAGATCAGTTATCAAAAGATCCTGTCTGATCCTGTCTGTGTGTGGTGAGATTTGGGGAAATAATAAAAGTTACGCAGCTGTGCGTAAAAGTTCAACTCTATTTTTTTGTGGTTGAGGTCCCCTGCAAGTCAGACCCTCCAGGTCAGATTGTTCAGCAGGTTAGCTACTATAGCACTGGTTAGAGCTTTACAGTAGGCCTAAATATGGGCTAACATCCCAGCTCAGAGTTTGAAATAGTTGAATAGATAAATATATTTTCAGGATTCAATAATAAGAAAATCCTCAGTTTTCAGTTTGAAAAAAAACGGATTTCTACAAAAGGACAGTGTTTCGATTACACTTAAGGTGAGTTTTTCCCTGTCAAAACCATAATGAAGTTTGACATTTCGTGGTAGAAAACACACACTTGATTCATGGAAACATGAAAACCTATTTGAGTAAAACTTTATCAAACTCTTCATTTTAAAGGATGTAGATAAGAAATTTCTTTTCACTTAATTTTGTCTGTTTTTGTAAGTTTTTAAATAGATTGACATCTTTTGTAAAAACTAAACGCAGAGATTTCTCACAATAACATGAACTTTTCTGCTGTTAAACATGCAGGACAGGACCACAGTGGTCAGTGGTGGGCAGGACTTTAGCTTCATCATTCAATGCATCGCTTTTAAACTAACTATTCTCAAAGTCTCGACGATAACACAAGTTTGTATGATAATATTGTCATGAAATCTTACGGTCTCCATGTCGTCGATGTTGTCCTCTCAGTTCAGGTGTTTGTCGGAGTTGGAGTCTTTAGTTGTCTGGGGAGGTTTTATTTACGATGGAGCTGTCAAAAGGTGAAAGTTTGTGAGCCACAGAAGTTTTTCGTGTCAATCTTCAGATTGAATCTTCAGAAATGACCAATCTTTATCGACTTGTAATGATTTAAAGTTCTTACATCTCCATGGAGATTTAAAATGCTGTTTACTTTAGAAAAACACTTACACTGGTAGGTTATATCTAAGAGTTTAATATCAACTTTAATTCACTTTAATCTCAAAGGAATATAAATATCTCTTGAGGTAAAGTTGAGGTTATTTTCTGTCAACTAGTTTAAAAAGCACACTCTCAAAACGAATGTGTCAAAAGTAACTCATGTGTTATTTCTTAACACATCAGTGTGTCTAGTTAAGGACAACACACAATGTGTTGTTTTGACACATGACTTTGTGTTGACAGATTTTACACATGTTGTGTGTTAAATGTGTCAACACATCAACTGTGTTGGGTTTACACAAAGATAACAAAGAGCTGTGTCATATTTTCATGCAATTTTCACATAGCTGCGTTATGTATTCTTCACACAAAAGTGTCTTATTTTCATACAATTTACACACAACTGTGTTATTGTTTATAAAATATTAAAATACAAATAATGTTCAATATAATTTTAATAATGCATCAGATTTCATATAGTGCTTTATCAGAGACCCTCAAAGCGCTTTACATTGGATACATCATTCATTCGCTCACACAGTCACACTTCGGTGGTGGTAAACTACCTTAGTAGTCACTAACGGAAACTTGGCTGCCATTTTGCGCCTACGGACACTCCGACCACCACCACACAACACTCACAATCATACACCAGTGGAGGACACACACCGGGAGCAAGGTGGGTTAAGTGTCTTGCCCAAGGACACAACGGACAGACTTGGGATAGGGGGGGAATCGAACTGCCAACCTTCCAATTATTGGACGACCGCTCTTACCTCCTGAGCTACTGCGATTATCTGCTAAATTACCAAACCTGGTCACTAAAAAGAATAAACATTTGCTTGAACCTCAAGTCACTTTTATAAAATGAAGTCTGATGTATATAGTGTGAACAGGAATGGCGCCAGCACTGTCCCTTGTGGAGCCCCTGTACTGCTCATTAATGTCCCAAATCGCAACGTTCAAACCGTCAGTAATGGATGCAATGATTTTTTGTACAAAGTCCACAATTTTAATAATAATAATAATTATTAAACTATCTTATTTATGTGAGTGTGTTTTCATTTATCATTATTATCTTATGGATCTATTTATTTTATTTCATTATTATTATTATTCATATTTTTATTATCATTATAGTTATTTATTTCGCTATTATTTTTTCAAATAACTCATATACACTTTTTTTCAACCAAACCTAGCTCATGGCTGGATGGATAGGGGAGAGGGTATGTACCTTCTTAAGTACAGTTTTGTATTGCAAATCATATATGCTTTCTTTGCAGCCGGACTTGGTATTGAATGTTTAAAATGTTGTAAATAAAATCATATTAAATAAAATATAGATAAAATACTGCGTAGTTTACCTTTGTTAAGAAAAAAACTTTGTAAACAGTTGCTTGGCTGTGTAGGCATTTGAACTTATATCACTTATACACTATATCTAGAGGGGCATCTGGGGTAAGGGTTTTTTTCTTGAGATCCTGTACCATGATTGTTGTTAGAAAAATCGTTCCCAAATAACAAGAGGCAGAAACGAGAGCTTGAGCTAGATAATGAAAGTACCTTTAATTCTTGCAAGAATGGAGCACAAACAATGCTGTAAGAAAAGAGATGCTGATGTTGAGGTGTCAAAAACTCCTGGAGTGCCCTCCTGAGGCCGGCTGCAGAATCACCAGAAACCATGTTCACATTAAGCTGAAGAAGCCTGTTTTAACAGCAAAAAACCCACATTTATGATTCTATGCAACACTGTATAGAGCTGCTGTGAGGGCAGCGTCTCTATGCTGGAGCTGAGGTATATTTTTTTCTGTGACAGCCCTCTTGTTGTCATGTTGAGGTGAACACGTTAACTGTCAGATCGTGGGAGTATTGTTGCTGTTGAGCTTTTTTTTTTTGCCTGTTTCTGGCTTTCTTTGTTGGAGGGTTAGATCAAATGAGACCATAAATTCAGTCTTGTGTTTTTGGGAACAGGATAAAGTCAGAGTAGCTTTGGTTACTGACCGCTCACTCTTTTTCTCGGTTGGTCACTTTTGGCTCCAGCAGACACAGAGGAGACCATCTTTACTTGTACAGTCTGT